TGAACATGTATTTGATGTAATTGCAATTGATTCGCATCATCGCCGAGAAACGAACATCTCGAACATTGCCTTCTATTGTGCACCTTCAGAACATGTGTTGCAAGCCGCTCAGCGCGTGCTGCTTTGTACTCGCACAAAGAGCACGCAAACGGCTTCGTGTGAGTATTTAAATGACGCTTCAGACACCAATTATCAACTCCGGTCCATGAACAGTACACGCAGGTGTACCTTGATATCAACAATTTTAATACGTTAATATAATTTCGCTAAATTCAACTTACGATGCTATGAATGCGCGAAAAAGGACTTTATGCCAAACATCGCGTTTCGTTTATTCGCGTATAAGCACGAAGATTTTTAAATCGTACAAATTTGATATATTTAAACATATATTTAAAAAATTACATAAACTAATAAAAATAAGAAAATAACTAAATATCAAAGCACGTAATGAAAGCAACTCGAGTTGGATATGTAACATACCTTCGTTCCTGTGTGCTCTTGGAGCCACCTTTAAGATGACTCTTACTATTACATCCGCCGTTTTGCACTCGCCTGCCTGTATTGCAATTATTCGCGTCCGATTGCACGATACTCGTCGGTGAAGGCATGATTATCGCTTGATGAATACCGGTGGTGCCAGTACCGGTACTAGTGCCCGATGTCGCAGCGTTCGGCTGTAGCTGATAGCCCTTATTGCTAGCGAAACCGAACTGATTGCTCATGTGTTGCTGTTGCGGTTGCTGTTGGTTGCTCACGTTGACAGTCGCCGGCGGTGCCGTCGAATCCTGTTGCAACGGCTTAGGAACGGTTGGTTCTACCGGTTTTCGTATTCTCGATACATCGTACACGTGATCGCGATGCATCCTCATGAAATGTTTCTTCACGTGATCCGCACGATTAAACATTTTATAGCACATGTAGCAATGAAACGGTTTGTCTTCGCGGTGAATGTTCTCATGTCGTGTATAAAGATCTCGTCTGTCCGTGCCGTAAGGGCAATATGGACAGGTATAACGTTTACCGCTTGTGGATGCCGCAACAGGAGAAGACATTGTGGTTGTGTTCTGCGATAATTTACATTGCTTTAAAAGAGGCTTTAATCAGGCTACATGATGTACAAATAGTACATTGCAGCCTGAAGAAACAAGAAGAAAACATAATGAAAGTATGCATTTGTAAAGACGTCTTATTTATCACTGAATATAGTGTTTGAACTTTTTTGAAATGATATGTATGACTATTAGGCCGGTTCTACAATCAGTCGTATATCAGAGTCGGATGTCGGAACGTAGCCGATGGTCCAATGAGGAAAATTCGTTTTTAAGAAAAAAATTTTCTCATTGGACCGACATCCGACTCCGACATATGACTGATTGTATATAAAACCAATCTTATTCTCTTGCAAATAATTTCTCAATTTATATAACGTTTTTAAGTCTTGTTTTCTTGGATTTACTGATGAGAGTTCAGCTTGAATCAAAACATTTATTTTAATTAAAATAATTAGTGTATCAGATTAATTATTATTACACAGTAAAAAATTTAATGTCCCAGAAAGTCTACTCTAAATTTTGTGTTAAAATAACTCATTTATCGTGTTATTTTTTACATTTAGAAATGTTATATTGACTAAAAAATGTCGATATAACATTTCTACACGGAGAAAATTTTATAGTAAATATTACTATGGTGTCGCACTAGCTGCGGACCATCGAGGAATTTCAAGTTAAAATACTATAATTATTGTTTTAAAAACGATAAAATAACGTAATTTTTACCATAAACATAGTAATTTAACTTAAAATTCCTCGATGGTCCGCAGCTATAGTGCGACACCATAGTAATATTTACTATAAAATTTTCTCCGTGTAAATGTAAAAAATAACACGATGAATAAGTTATTTTAACACAAAATTTAGAGTGGACTTTCTGAGACATTAAATTTTTTACAGTGTATATATTTGTATTTGGTGGCATCAATAACTGCCGGTTATTTTTTAAAATACTGATTACATTTTAACTGTAAGGATCCGTATATATAAAAGTGACAAGTAAAAAGAAATTTTCTTTTCATACTTGTCTTTTCACCAATCTGTTAATGTTCTTGAACGTTTAGAAAAATTAACAAAATCCTTGTATTAATTTCTTAGGAGTGTCATTTTTCAAGAATAGAATAGAATTATTTTTTTGTATTATCAGTTATATTTATTATATAATATATTATCTCGGAATATGATTCCAATTGATTATATTATATATGATTATATTACATTATACAATACCTGTTGCAAATGTTGGGGCGCAGGGGCGGATGGCAGTTCTTGCAAGAGGAAGCTCGATGTAACTGGCAGTAAAGCCGCAGGTACAGTTTGTGTTTCTTGAGTTCTCCGAGAAGGAGGAGCCGCCCGTTCGGCGCGTTCACGGAGTCTTTCTAGATACATGACCACATCTTCCATTTTTAAATCTGTTTGCATATAATCTTTGCGTGGTGAATGATGTCTATTCCTACTGTTATCGGCTAGGATTCTCGATGGATGATATTCCATAAAGTGCTCGGCAATTTCCCGCGGACCACTCGTTATGATGTCTCCTGTTAAAGTGGATAAAATCACTTTAGAGAGAGAGAGAGCTGCAAAAACATCGATATATAAATTAAATCCATTAGTATATGATAAATTAAGTACTATAATTGTCGAACTATGTATAAGCGTTATCTTACAAAAGACCAATTTTACATTCGAACAATCAGGATACAAAAATATAAGGAAGTGAACAAATTTTCAATTAATACACGAACAGTGTAATATCTATTTGAAGAAAAAAGAACATGATAGGAATAGATAAAATTATAAGCATTTTCTATTTAAAATACCAAAAGTGTACGCATTTTCGTGGTGATTTTTTTCTTTCTCTTAACTTTTTAGAATTACGTAGAAAATTTCAAGTTACGCATCGACTCTTGTTAAATTTTTTTGCAATTTACGTTAAATTCTTTCTTTTGTTTTTAACTAAAGTATTAGTATTATTTCTTCTTAATTTAGCAATTTTTCCTTTGTCCCATGCTATTTAATTTATTAAATTTATTTTCAAAAAGATTATGAACTATGATACTTAATAGATTCGCTTTTCTATGACGTACTAATTAAAATATCATATTTTTATCATTATCGATATCTCATCACTTCAATCTATTTGCTTATACCTGAATCCGATACTTGATGTTAATTTATTCGATATGTATGTATAATAAATACCGATTCCTTGTTCGTGTTTCTTATAGG